ATGAGCTAGCCATAAGAATGCCATGAAACACTGTACTAAGCACAGGATAATTTTCTTGGTCGTTGTTTTAAGGTCCTGATATCTATTCTAATGGAAGGTAAAAGCAGGTTAAGAGGGACATGTAAATACACATGTAACCTCCTAAGCCTTGTATTACTCCTTGATCATCTCTGTCCCTCTGAAGCTTTTCTACCTGACCAGGCTCTGTCCTCTCTCCCCAGGGCCTCATGTTCCGGTGCAGCGCCAGCTGCTGTGAGGACAGCCAGGCTTCCATGCAGCAAGTACACCAGTGCATTGAGCGTTGCCATGCACCTCTGGCTCAAGCCCAGGCCTTGGTGACCAGTGAGTTGGAGAAGTTCCAGGTGAGGAATACCCCAAATAGAGGTGTCTAGTCCTTGATGTACTCTGCAGGAGATAACAAGTGTTTGTTCAGAGCTTTTGGCTTTAGTGTCTTATTTCCGTTTAAATTTGTAATGGTCCTATGGCTAATCAATCTTCCCAGGGTTTGAAATTTTGAAAAGATCCTGAAAGTTGAGTATTAAGTTGAACTATCTTTTTCCATAAAACAATGATGTAAAAAGGAATTACCAGACCTGGTGTGGTGGCACAAGCCTGCAATCCCAGCAGCTCAGGAGGCTGAGGCAGGAGGATCACAATTTCAAAGCCAGCCTCAGCAATTTAGCAAGGACCTAAGCAACTTAAGAAGACACTGTCTCAAAATAAAAAAGGACTGGGGATATGGCTCAGTGGGTTAAGGGCCCCTGGGTAAATCTTCAGGACAAAAAAAAAAAAAGGAGTTGCCAGGGGAGTTTATGACCAAAAGCCCTTATACTTTTTGTTGTAAAGTTTGGAGTGATTTAGACACGTACAGATACTGTGTATGCTATGTAGTATAAAATCTTCTAAAACGTATGTTGATCCATTTTTAAGATAGAATTCCCAGGAAAGTAGAATAAGACAGTCTTTAAAGGTACACGATTAGAGGAAAACCCTGCATTTATTTTGTGAACTTACAAGACCCACCCAAGACTACCCCTGCTTGCCTCACCCAAGGGGCAGTTCTGGTGTCACTGGGAGTGGTCATTTATATGAAGCATTTTTGTTGACTGATGCCTGGCTCAGAAACGCCCCCTGACATTCCTAAGAGAACTGCCTTTTACCTTTTCATTTTATTCCCTTCTTCCATGTATATTTAGAGCCCTCTTCTGAACCAGTCTCTCATAGCCTGAGAGTCCATTCACAGGAAAAAGAATCACACCTAATCAAGCATGATGGCACATGCCTATAGTCCCTGCTACTAAGAAAGGTGAGGGAGGTGGGAGGATCACTTGAACCCAGGAAGGAGTTCAAACCCAGCCAGGGCCAATATAGTGAGAGACCCCACCACCACCACCTCTCAAAATAAATTAGTTTATGTATGGTACATTTTTTACAATTGTGCTATACAAAAACTCTTCAAAATTACTGCCATTATGAAGGGATAATTTCTCCAAGATCATGGAAAACCCTCCAAAGGATTTCTTTGTTCATTTGACAGTTAATTTTATAGATGAGGTCTTTGAAAACTTGGTTCTTGGATTACTATATAACTTTCTCCTTCCATTCTCTTTGTAGTCTTGATTCAGGCAGACTTCCACCTTCCACTGTACCAGAACTGCTCTTGCAGTTTGAGTGCACCTCCTTGGGGATAAATCCAATGATCATTGTGCAGTCCTCATCTTAATCAACCTATCTGCATCATTATGCAGTGACTCCCTCACCTCTCTGAAGCACTTTATCCTTTGGCCATCAGAGCACCTCTCTCCCTTTCCCTCTTTCTTGGCCTCCTTTGCTGGCACTTTCCTTTCCAACCTCTTGAGCGTTGGAAATGCCCAGGCTATACTGGAACCCTGTCTCTTTTTCTAATTTTTTTCTAATTACTTGTCTGGTCTCATTGTTGTAGTATCATCTGTATCGGATAACTCCTACATTCACATCTCAGGACCAGACCTCACTCCTGAACTCCAGATTCATATGTCCAATGGTTTCCTCAACAGGTCCACTTACTGATTTTGTTGGTCTCTCCCCTCACTAAACTGCAAGTTCCATGAGGGCAAGAACTTGTATCTGTTTACTCATTGCTATATTCTACAACATTAGAAAAATGACTGGCCCTCAATAAATATTTGAATTGAATTGAGTGTTCCTCTGTCACAAAAACAGACAATAAAGAATCAAGATGTTTCAAGATAGTACAGCGGTTTCCATATAATTTATCCTCTTGTTCCCCTTCTTTCTAGTAATGTTTGTCTGGATCTTCCTGGTGTGACCTTCTGTTTCACCCAAGACAATCTTAATTAATTGAACTTTGTATCCCTTTAACTGATCCAGATATGAATGCCAAGACTAGCACATGATGAGCACTTAGTAAATGGAACCCAGCCTCTCAGCCTTCTCTTCCTTCTTGCTTTAGGACCGCCTGGCCCGGTGTACCATGCATTGCAACGACAAAGCCAAAGATTCAATAGATGCTGGGAATAAAGAGCTTCAGGTGAAGCGGCAACTGGACAGTTGTGTGACCAAGTGTGTGGATGACCACATGCAACTCATCCCAACTATGACCAAGAAGATGAAAGAGTCTCTCTCATCCATTGGGAAATAAAAGTTCTTGCCAGTGACCATTGGGGCTCAGAGCAGGAATCTATTTTAAAAGGATTGGGAATTTTTAGTCTCTTAAGCAAAGTTTATATGAATGAAGAAACTAAGGATGGCAGCAAGTTTAAGGCATATATCACTTGACTCTAGGACACTGGTTCCTTTGTGTCTTGATCCAAGAAAATGAAATGGGGAAAAAAAAAAAATGGTGCTAAAATTTGAGTGAAAGGATGGGAGAGCCTTTTAGAGCCTAAATTTTACATGGCAAGTGGTTATCCTGACAGTAGAAAGCCAGAGTTCTCTAAGGTACCAGATTCTTACAACACAGGTATCTACAGGATGGCAGGTTCTTCCAGACTGCCAGTGACCTGGTAGAGTTTGAGAAGAGGTGTTTTTTGTTTGTTGCCAACCTCCTGTTTACCAGAAGTAACATACCATTTTCCATAAGCTGTAAAACAAAATCCAGGAGATCACTAATCTAGGAGAGGGAAAAGATTACCAGATCTTTATTTTATTTGGTAGTTTTTTATATACAAGGCATGAAGTGGACTTAAGATGTGAATCTGAGAGGGAGAATAGTTTGAATAAGAACTTGGAAAGCTTCAAGCTTCCTTGTGTATACCCTTTATGGCCATCAAGATACGGATTTCTTGACATTTTTATTGCATCTCTCAGCTGGGAGACCACTGCAAAAACATAAGAGGCAATGTCACATTAAGTATGGGAAGCAGAGACCAGCATTCTGCAGCAAAGTGACAGAATAATCTTTTCCCCTTTAAGAGAGGAATTTTGATTGTGATACATATACTAGTATCTGGAAATAGTAAAACAGTGACTGTTCACTAGCTAAGGGAATTGTGAAGTACTGTCCTTGGGAAAAAAAAAAAAAACAGCTTTTCATAGAACAGAATGCAACAGAAGCCTAAATCCAGCATTGCTTATTTAGTTCCCTGAATTAACAGAGCCTTATGGAGATAATCCCCTGGCAACAGGAAAGTTAAAAAGTAAACAGCTTGGGCTAGGAAAAACTGTGACACCCACTCCCACTTTGAGAGCAAAGGAGGGACAACCCACACAGTAACCTTTACCATTTTTGCCTGGGGCCTTTGCAACATGCAGTATTCCTGCCCCAGCATGGCACCTTAACTTCTGGATAAGGAGCATGTTGTCTTTTTTACAAATTTATTACTTGAAATGATAGTATAGCCTGTCTGTTTGCTCTGTCAAGGCTGTAATATATTTTCCTAGTGGTTTGGCTTTAAAATAAATAGTTTCATTATCTCCCTGTGATGATGTTTCTTTGTATCTGGACAGTGATATTGTCACTTTCTTAGTATGTTTCTTCTCATGTGTGAAATTTTTTAAGATGTATGGAAGAGTGGAAATTAATTATATGTTCAGATGTAGGGCCAATTCACAAAGGGAAGGCTAGGACATGATGACTTGAAATCCATTAATGAAGAAAAGAAACTTAAAAAAAAACATGTCAAGTTTCTAGTTTCAACAGTAACAGCAAGTGATGGAAAAGTTACACTGTTATTACCCTCCAAGAGAAAATTCAGTGCCTAGGATTTTTGAGTACCATCATACATCAAATATATGATGTAATTTGTCTTTACTGAACATTAGGAATGCATTTAACTTTAATCTGGATTTTACTATTTGGGATAACAGCAGAAAACAAATGGGAATCTATTTTTTAGACATACACTTGATGTGGAAAATCAATACTTCCTTAGAGAATATCTACGCTGCACTATGCGTTTCATACATTGGGTCCGTCGTACATTGAATGGAGTTCTGGAGGGAGTGTTAAAAGAATTATTGGGGACTGGGGTTATGACTCAGTGGTAGAGCGCTTGCCTAGCATGCATGAAGCACTAGGTTTGATCCCCAGCACCACATTAAAAAATAAATAAATAAAGGTATTGTATTCATCTACAACTAAAAATATTAATTAAAAAAAGAAGAAATTACTGGGCCATCAATAGGGACCACATTCCAAGGCTCTAGGTTCAAATTCCTGGAGACAGCAGCCTTACTTCTAGATCACTAATTTGGGTGTTACGGGAAGCTTAGGAACACAGCAGGAATTCCTGCCAAAGAACTATCATAGGCCCACTCCTCCAGAGCTCATTTCCATTCGGCATATATAAGGAAAATAAGCAACATGATCCACAAACGTAACAGTGGCCGAGGTTACCCAGAACCAGACACCTGACTTACCTCAACTTTAAAAAAAGGAAAGAATCAAGGCCCCTCCTCCCAGTCAAGGCCAATCGCCGACGACGCAACCGGAAACCGGCGCCTGACCAACGTGCTTGGACTTCCTGTAAGTATCGCGAGGTGAGATGTAAAAATTACTGACAAACGATTGGCTATCGGGCCGGTGACGTCAATCGTAAAACGCAGAGTCTACCGCGGTAGCGTGAAGGAGGCCGCCAATTCCGATTCAAAGCATCTTTGAGCTTGAAGAATAGACAATATGAGCAAAGCTCATCCTCCCGAGCTGAAAAAGTGAGTATGTGTGAGCTCCGCTCGGAAAGGGCCGCTTCCATGCGTGCCCCAAGTTTCTTTAAGTCTTCTCCATTTCCCGCCATTGTGACTGGCGTGTGTATGCCGAACGGGGCCCAAGCCCCTTTCTGTCCATTTCTTATTCGGTCCTGAAGCCCCTCGAGATTCACACCAGGGTCTGGCTTTCGAGCCGGAAGCCCAGGAAATCGAAAAGACAAAAATGCATAACTATTTCTTTGAGCTTTTATTAAGAAATTCCATTCCTTTTTCTTTCTCCTTTTTAAATTTAAGTTCATTTGTAATTCATACATAGAAATCCTACTTACAAGGGCTGGGGTTGTGGCTCAGTGATAGAACACTCGCCCTGGGTTCGAATTCTCAGCACCACATAAATAAATAAAAGTATTGTGTCCATCTACAACTAAAAAATATTTTAAAAAGAAGAAGAAAGAAAGAAATCCTACATATGAATAGGGTACCACGTGCTGTTTCGGTACATTCTTGCCCTGTTGTAATTAAGTTAAACTTGAATGTGGTGCTATATCTTGTTCTGGTGTTAGAATCGTGTGAGAACATTAATTTTTCTAACCAAAAAAGGCTAGTCCTTTGGAGTTTTGTTCTGCGCCTAGTAGAATCACCATAGATGTCTTTAAGTAGTTCCCGGTTTAAAGCTTAACCTCCGCAAAACTTTTTGCCTGAACTTAACGTATGTCCTGTCTACGAAGTACTTGTCTTCTTTATAACCAAGTAGTAATTTATACATCGTTCTTTATCTGCATGTGTTAATTGGATTGCACAGCCATATAATCTGCCTTTTGTATATTCTGTTTTTTAGTGATCCTGAAAAAAAAGATAGACATAAAGAAGCGTTTGTATTTAAATGTACATTTTTATCAAAGCAACTACTGTGTGCAAATCCGTGTGTATTTTAATTGAATTTGTTAAAGAATTATTAGCTGGGGATAAGATTGGAGGTAGAGTGCTTACCTAACATGCGAGGCATTATTAAACCATAAGTTCCAGCATTAAGAAGAATAGAGATTTTTGTGACAACGTTTATTTAAAATAAAAATTATTTTGTTGATGAGCTGATGAATGAAGTCTTGTAGGTATCCGAATTCATCAGAGACTGGTAAAATGGTGATTATTTTTTAGCAAAAGGACTGTTCTCATGTGTAATTTTAGATTTCCTTCCTGTTTCTTAACAAATATTTGAGAATTTCAGAGAATGAAACTAGTTCTCATTCTTAGATGTTATGAATTGTTAAATCCTATCAGATATTCCTGCAAATGAGTAGATTTCTTCTTTCTTTAGTTTCCTGCAGATACTTTCTTCTATTTTTGTATTCTTCTCCTAGCTCATCATTTCTCAGTGATTCTTAAATGGGGCTGAGGAGTTTAGTGCTGCCAGCATCTAGTGGGTCAAGGTTGGGGATGCTGCTAAACATCCCACAAGATATTGGATGGCCTTCAACAACCAAGAAGTATCTGAACCCAAATGTCAGTAATGCTGAGGGTGTAATACCCTAGCCCAGCTAATTGACCCTCCCACATCTTAAAGTTTGCTGCCATGATAAGTCTTGCCAATGATTGACTGTGTTTTAACAACTTACCACTGTCTGCAAAATAAAGTCCAGATTTCATATCTTAGCATTGAGTCCCTCCACCTAAACTCCAAGCATCAAATCTTAACAACCACTGATATTTGAGTGTCTTTTTCTTCAGTCAAATTGAACCGTTTGTGTTGCACACACTTTCTCACTAACTGGGTGACTTTGGGCAATTTACTTAAACTTTCTGAGCCTTGGTTCCCCATCTATAAAATGGTGGTAAACAATATAATTCTCAGCTCCACATAAATAAAGGTATTGTGTTCATCTATAACTAAGAAATATTTTTTTAAAAAAAGAAGAAAGAATCAAGCTCTTGTTATAATTTGCTGCTAAACATAGGTCCTACTAAAATGTATGATTTTATTCATTATACTTAATAAATGTATTTTTATTTGTAAATGTATTTATTCCTGCCTACAGTCAATCCCCATGTGTTATTATTTCTTTGAATTCTTCCATGATACCTTTACATTAAAATTGAATGGGGCTGGGGGCATAGCAGGGTACTTGCCTAGCATGTGCAAGGCCCTGGGCTCAATCCCCAGTACCATTTAAAAAAAAAAAAAGTTGTTTTTTTTTTGTTTGTTTGTTTGTTTGTTTTTCTTTTTAATGGGCCAGGTACCATGCCTGTAATACCAACTACTTGGGAGGGTGAGACACCACACAAGTTAAGACCATGTCTCAAAATAAAAAGGGCTGGGGTTGTAGCGCAGTGGTAGAGCGCTTGCCTAGCATGTGTGAGGCACTAGGTTCAATCCTCAGTACCACATAAACATAAAGTAAAAGGTATGTGTCCATATTCAACTAAAAAAAAAATGTTTTTTTAAATTAAATAAAATAAAAACAAAAATGGCTGGGATCGGGCAGCTCAGTGGTAGAACAACCCTGGCAATCCCCTGTAACACCACCACTCCCCCCAAAAAAATTGAACAAAATTTCATATTTTCTGGCCTTTAACTTAAAGTGGTAGGAATTGATTTGGCTGCATGGCTTAATGTTCACATACTATCCTACTGAGATGGGATTTTTCTTATTTAACTGAAATTTCAAAAGAATACATTTATTGTTTTGTGTTGAGAACTGCCCTTAATACTTAAGCTTAATGTTTTAATATTAACCTATTTTGTCCCAAAGTCCCAGATGTGAAACACCTATAAGAATTTAAATATAAGGGCTGTGGTGTAGTTTGATGGTAGAGAGCTTGCCTAGCATACACAAGGCCCTGGGTTCAATCTCCAGTACTGGGGAAAATAAAACTTAGATATAGCCAGGCATGGTAGTACATACCTATAATTTCCCAGCTACTTGAGAAGCCAAGGCAGGAAGATTACAAGTTAGAGGCCAGCCTGGGCAATTTAGCCAAATCCTACCTCAAATCAAAAGAGCTGGGCAGGCTGGAGTTGTGGCTCAGTGATAGAGTGCGTGTCTAGCACATGTGAGGCACTGGATTCAATCCTCAGCACCACATAAAAATAAATAAATAAAAAGTATTGTGTCCGTCTACAACTAAAAAAATTTAAAAAAAAAGGCTAGGGGTGAAGCTCAGTGGTAAAGTGCCCCTACTTCAATTCCCAGGACTACCCAAGGTGGGGTGGAACTACTTAAATAAGTGCATAGTTATATTGTGATAAAAATATAATTGTAATATGATATTAAGTAATAATATAATCTCTAGAGTTCTGACCTATTTTAATGAACCTCTGTCAATTTCATTGAACAAGTTGTAAAATTGAAATCTTGGGACTTAATAGGTTAAATAAAACAATACTACTTATTATCTCAGGTATAAAATTAAATACTTATTGAATTGGATATAGTTTGATTGCTATTTTGGAAATAACCAGAACATAACCAGATTTTTGTTTTTCTGTTTTGATTATAAAATCCAGTCATTGAAAATTGGGTCAGTGAAGCAACAACATGGTATTGAAACAACAGTAATACTTTTGAAATTCACATTTAAGATTCAATTTAATGTAGATTAATATAGTCTACACATTCTGTTTTATTGTCTTGCAACATCCCAAATTTTGTTATTTTGTATGATGTCTAATTTAGGTAACCTTTTGATCCATCACCCTTTACGATAATATAAGATTTTTACTATTTTAAACTTCTTATTCCAATTGTATAAATTTCAGCAAATTATTGTACATACTTCTGTGCTTGTTTTTGCTTAAAATTTTTGAAACAGTTATATAATTTTTACCCCTTTGTTTTTTTCAGATTTATGGACAAGAAGTTATCATGTAAGTTTGTTGCTTTGTCTTGGTTTTTTTTAATTATTCAGTTGCTTTTTACATGTATCTTTAGTGTCCAGTGTTTGGAGCCACTTGATAAAAATTAAGCACACAGAACCTCTAATTCACATCCATTCATTAAGTAGGTTTATCAAAATGCTAACCAGACAACTTTATTTATCTAATTTCTAATAGCACTTAAGATTTTTGGATAATTTAATATAAACCCTTCCTCACTTTGATAAAATTAACAGAAATTTTCTGTGCTGTAATATTTGAAAATTCAACTCATCAACATTTTTTTCGTTTTAAAACAAGCTACAGGGCTGGGGTTGTGGCTCAGCGGTAGAGCACTGGCCTAGCTCTTATGGGGCCCTGGGTTTGATCCTTAGCACCACATATAAATAAACAAAATAAAGGTATTCTGTCCACCTAACTAAAAAAAAATGTTTTTAAACAAGCCACAAAGGATTTAGACAAGGAGCGCTTACTCTGTTTCTTGGTAATGTATAAGAAAAACAGATTTGTTAAACCTAAATAAAGGAGATGGGGTTGTGGCTCAGGGGTAGAGCACTGCCTAGCAGTGTGAGACACTGGGTTCGATCCTCAGCACCACATAAAGAAATAAAAATATTAAAAAATAAAATAAAAATCTGACCCATGCTATACTTGAAGTACATAGGAATTAAGAGCATTAGGCTTTATAGGTAAGCAGTCTTTAGTTTGATTGAATCTCAGCTGTGACAAACTAACCTTGAAGCTTATTAATTTACAACTTCAGTTCCAGTGCCCTTGGATAAAGTAAAGATATTATTACTGTTGAGGGTTCTTACAAATTAAAATGTAGAATTAAATATAAAATGTTTAGGCCAGTGTTTGACATATAGTAATGATAGTGGGTCAAACATCTCAGCTACCTGTGTCTTATCATACCTGGTTAGTAACGAATGGCTGTTAATGGATGGTTTTATTAAAACTTTTTCCCTTTTTATAGTGAAATTAAATGGTGGCAGACATGTCCAAGGAATATTGCGGGGATTTGATCCCTTCATGAATCTTGTAATAGATGAATGTGTGGAGATGGCAACTAGTGGACAACAGAACAATATTGGAATGGTGGTAAGTAAAGAGAAGACCTCCATTGGAGATTTCATTTTTGCTTTAGAATATGTATTTTGTTCCCTTACAGTAAATTTTGGAGTTAGAGTAGTTGACCCCATAAAAGGCAAATATCAGGGAAGGTTAAGACTTCCCATTTCCTTTTTGGTTTATCGTTCCTGAAAATAAGTTTTCAAGTACACAAAATCTTATAAGGTCCTGTAGCATGAAATAGCTGTTAAAAATCATTTTTTAACTTTATAAGAGAGACCTATAGTCAGTTCTTCAATAAAGTAGTAAAGTAATACTTGAATATGTATATGAATCCCCAAGGCACCTTATTAAAATGCAGAGTCTGATTCAATCGGTGTGGGATAGACCTTGAGATTTTATTTTATTTGTGTAAGTAGTTAACTTTAATTTTCTGATTTATCACACCCAAAATTTAAAAGTAGTCGAGGTAAAAGTTGCAAGGGATAATCATGACAGCCATTCACATGGGAGAAAAGAAGGGTGTGTGTGTGTGTGTTAATTAGACCCTTATTTTAGGGTAAACATTCCTATATTCATTAGGCCAGAGTTATGTGGCTACCAAAGAAAGTTTTGGTGTTGTGTTTTTGTGAATGTTTTGTTTTTATTGGTGCATTATAATTGTATATAGTGATGGGACTCATTTCATATGTGTACATGCACACAATATAACAATGTACTTTGGCCAGTATCATTCCCCAGCACTTTCCCCTTTTACTCTGTAGTCCCTTTCCTCTACTGATCTTTTGATTTTCATGAAATTCCTACCTCCACCACCTTTCTTTTCCTTTTCCTTTCTGGCTTCCATATATAAGAGAAAACACACAACCCTTGGCTTTCAGAGTTTGGCTTATTTTGCTTAATATAATGGTCTCAGGTTCCATCAACTTCCCTGCAAATGACATGATTTCATTTTTCTTTATGGCTAAGTAAAACTCTATTGTGTATACATACCACATTTTCTTTATCCATTCATCTGTTGATGGAAACCTAGGCTGGTTCCATAATTTGCCTATTGTGAATTATGCTGCTATAAATATGGGTATGTATTTCTATGATGATTTAATTCCTTAGGATAAATACCAAGTAGTAGTATAGCTAAGTCATATGGTGGTTCCATGCCTAGTCTTTTGAGAAACCTCCATACTGGTTAAGAAACTTCCATAGTGGTTATACTAATTTACAGTCGAACCACAGATGTAAAAGTGTTCCTTTTTCTCTCATCCTCAGTAGCATTTATTATTGTTTGTATCCTTGAAGACTGCCATTCTGACTGGTATGAGATGAAATTTTAGTGTAGTTTTGATTTGCATTTCCCTAATTGCTGATGTTGAACATTTTTCATATATTTATTGGCCATTTGTATTTCTTCTTTGAGGAGTATCTGTTTAATTCATTTGCCCATTTATTAATTGAGTTATGTGGGGTTTGGGGGGGTTTTGAGTTTTTTATATATTGTAGATACTAATCTTTTGTCAGAAGAGTAGCTAGCAAAGATTTTTCTCATTGTGTATGTTCTCTCTCCACATTATTGTTTCCTTTGCCGTGCAGAGGCTTTTTAACTTGACGCCATCCCATTTACCAACTCTCAGCATTATGTCCTGAGCTTTAGGTGTCCTATTGAGAAGTTTGTTGCCTGTGTCTATATGCTAGAATATTGACCCTATCTTGTCATCTAGGGGTTGCATAGTTTTTGGTCTAAAAGCCTAAATTTCTTGTAAAAGGTGAATATAAAGACCTCCAAAGAACCCAGTGCAATTGCATGTACATGTAATCCCACGGACTCCAAAGACTGAGCAGAAGGATCACAAGCTAGAAGCCAATGTCAGCAACTTAGCGAGATCCCATCTTAAAAATAAAAGGGCTGGGCACTGTGGCGCACATCTGTAATCCCAGGGGTCTCAGTAGGCTAAGGCAGGCAAATCACAAGTTAAAAGCCAGCCTCAGCAACTTAGCGAGATCCTGTCTTAAAATAAAAAAGGGCTGGTGATATGGCTCAGTGGTAGAACATCCCTGGGTTCAATCCCCGGTACCCCAAAACAAAAACGAAATTTGACCTCCAAGAAATAGTAAGGGTTAGCCTTGGTGGGTTGGGTTTTTTCTCTCCCACTTCTTCCCTGTTGTGCTAGGGATTGGACCCCAGGCTATATTTCCAGCTCAGTGGATATATAATGTTTGGTTTTTTCCTGAAAGTTTGAGCACTAGAGGGACAAGGATAGACCCAGCTTTGACAAATTTGCCTGTTTTTTTTTTTTTTTTTTTTTTTTTTTTTAATTGTGGTCCTGGGGGGTTGAACCCAGGGTCTTGAACATGGCTAGACAAGTGCTCTACCACTGAGCTACATCTCTGGTGCTTTTTTAAATTTATTTTTTGAGATAGAGCCTTGCCAGTTTGCCCAAACTGGCCTTGAGTTTGTGGCCTTCCTGCTTCAGCCACCTACACAGCTGAGATTATAGGCATGTACCACCGCTCTTGGCTATGACTTGTTTTTTTTTTTTTAGTCATTGCGAGGTTTATGTTAGTACTTATCTCAGATGTGTTTCCATTATTGCATTTTGAAAAGCAAATCAGTAGACTTGACTGAAAAACAGGTTGCACAACACCCCAAATTTTCCAGCAAATTGATCTCTACCTTTCAGACACATACCCCTAGAGCTTATGTCAAATAAAAATATAGTGGAATTAAAACTACTGAATTTGGGCTGGGGTTGTGACTCAGTGGTAGAGCAATTCCTAGCACATGTGAGGCACTGGGTTCGAACCTCAGCACCACATAAATATAATTAATTAAAATTATGTCCATCTATGCCTAAAAAAATTTTTCTAAAAACATACTGAATTTGCACCCCCATTACCACCCCAAAATTAGGAACTTCCTCCTGCTGAGAGTGAAATCTGAAGGGCTACAATTCTCCCAAGCCTGACAGGTGCCAAAGAAACAGGAGAGCTGAGGCCTGCCCACAGTCCCCTTTTGCTGCCCAGTCCTGTCTAGCACAGGCTAACTAAAAATGCATATATGTTCATTGCACAGCTCCTCTCCTACTTATTTTCAAGGATTTAAAAGGCAATATATGAAATCATGTAAGTTTCTATCTTCCTTCAAAGATGGCTTTGAATAAAACCTATTTTCTTACCAGTTTGACTCCTAATATTTCTGGAGCAGCAATTATTGTAGCCTAGCCTCTTTTCCCCCAGACAGTATTAGAGTCTCTGGGTAACAGAATCATTAACAACCAGGTTCTAATACTCACCAAAAGACTGTCACAGTGGTGCACACTTGTTATGACCTGGTGACTCTGAAGGCTGAGGCAGTAGGATAGCAAGTTGGAAGCTAGCCTGAGCAATTTAATTTAGTAAGACTCTTAAAAAAGGATTGGGGGGTTGGGCTGGGGATGTGGCTCAAGCGGTAGCGCGCTCGCCTGGCATGTGTGCGGCCCGGGTTCGATCCTCAGCACCACATACAAACAAAGATGTTGTGTCCGCTGAAAACTAAAAATAATAAATATTGAAATTCTTAAAAAAAAAAAAAAAGGACTGGGGGTGTAGCTTGTTGATAGAGCACCCCAGTGCCACAGAAAATAAAAAAATACATACTCCCAAGCTTCCTTCTAGCCCTTCTTTAAAAGTTAGGAAATCTTCATTCTAATAGAGGATAGATTATATTTTGCATCTCAACAAATGATTCAGAAACATCTTTGGCATCTAAATTTTGATTCTAATTTGAGAAGGGTTTTGTTTGTTTGTTTCCAGATAATCATGTGCTCATTAGAATTTTATCATATAAGGAATTGAACTTGGATCATGGGTCTTTCTGTCAATTTTCCCCTGAATCTTGCTGGACTTAATTTTCTTTACAGAGAAATTGGTTAAAAACAAGAGTACCTACTTGCTATGTTAGGCAGTCAGCTCTTTTACTTCAAATATTATGTGACCAAAAAAAGTTTTTCTCAGTAGACAGTAATTCTTTTAGCTGAGTCATCACTTTCACACAGTGATGATAATACATCAATTATATTTAATAAATAAACATTTTAAAGAAAATGCAAAAATGGGAGTGAACTTTTGACTTCTAAAGTAGGAAGAAGGGAAACAGGTTAAATTTTTTTTTCCTCAGATATTCTTAACAAAGGAGACAGTTACAATATCTTGTCCAAGTCGGTGACCCATTGTGTTTTCTGAGGGGAAGGGTTGTGTGTGTGTGTGTGTGTGTGTGTGTGCGCGCGCCGCATGCATACTCATGCATATGTGTTTTCATTCTGAGGGGGAGAAGGATAATTACCTAATAAGTCAACTATCCTCTTCTGAAACACCCTCCTCCTCCAAAGCTCTTGGTAGTATCACCTGTCTTATTTTCTTAAGATAGGATGACTTTGCTCCAGGTCCCCCAAAGAATATAGTAAAAATTCTGTGTATTTTGATGCTGCATGGTTCAGGAGCTCTTGCTAAAATTTTGTATGTATGTTTTTGTGTTTGTGTATGTGTGTGTAAGAATTGTGCTGTTGTAGGATCATCTTATTAGACAACTGCCCTGTGAAGAGGCTGCAAGCCAGAGCAACACTTAATAAAAGGAGGGATATTGATTCTGGATCTGATGTTTCTGGTTAATTGGTAGAATTGAGTCTTGAACATATGGCAAAAGAAGAAGGGCAAAGGTGTTCAACAAGTAGCCTATTCCTAAATACTATGTGATGAGGTTCTCAGATCAGAAAATCTTAGTTTTCTAAAATAACCTCTTTATCACCTTCCACTTCTAGGGTAGAAGTGTCAGACATGGACAAATTTATGAGAAAACTGGGAAGGAAGAAAGCTAGTTGTTTTTCATGTTGTGATCATTGTAATATTTTTTCATCATCTGTTGGTCAAAGGGGGATAAAAAAGGATGTGCTCATGGTAGAGCAGTTAACCTAGCACGCTTGAGGCCCTGAGTTCTATTCCCAGCACCATTAAAAAAGAGTCAGGAATTTTAAAAACTAGGTAAACTTACTGTTTAGCTCTCTACATTTCTCTCCCTGACTTACTAAAGTCACAGATTCCTTTAGTCCTCTTTACCGATTTTAGGGCATTGTTCTCTTAAATCCGCTCTTTAATTCTTTGACGTCTTTCACCATACTAGTTGCTATTAATTCCCAGGCTCTGAGACACTGTCTCACACCTGTTGTGTACCCTTCCAGTCTCATGCAGAGCTCGTTTGTTTATTTCACATATATTTTGCCCTATGTTAGAGGTAGTGCACCACAGTCCCTGCTTTCCTAGAATTTACGTTTCAGTGGAGACAATGTCATAGTGTGTGTACAATTAAAGTTACCTGAATGAGGGGAGAAAAGAGCAAGTTTATAACTATTTTCACCTTTGGTAATGGTCTACAAGCATGGCTCCACTTTGAATTTTACTTAGAATGCCTCCTTTTTTTTTTTTTTTTAAAGTTGTCAGTGGACCTTTGTTTTATTCATTAATATATGTGGTGCTGAGAATTGAACCCAGTGCCTCGCACATGGTAGGCAAACAACTCTGCCACTGAGCCAGAACCCCAGCCCAAAATGCCTCTATTTTTAATAAACACTTGGATAATCATATTTTTTATCATCCCACTCCTGTCCTTTCATTCTTCAGTTCTAGTTCACTGATCTGTGATCTACAGATCTTCGTGATCCATAGGGTCCATCAGAGACTTCTTATTTCCAGTCCCTTCCGATTTCCACTTGTTTTTCTATCCCTCTTGAATTTACTTACCACCATTTCATCTATGTTCTCATAAATATCCCCTCTTATCATTATTGATAGCATATTTACTAAGTCAGGCACTGTATTCCTAGGGCCCTTTCTAACTTCCGGCCTCTAAGCACCTTCATTCATATTTACATATGTTGTTGCCAGGACTGTTATTGTCTTTCCTCTAATCATTAAGTTTTATTTTAACTGGCAAACTATTGGTTTGCCGGTTAAATGCCCTCCATTTTAAGATTGGCATTTGAGACCTTTTAAGATTGGATACCAAGTATCTTGGTTTCCACCTTCCTTCATGACTTTCCTGTGACATTCAAATTAAACTCTTTCCTTATTCCCTTATACTTTGTCTTCATCCTCATTCTGTTGAGTATTTACCCTGTCGAAGTTCTACCCACTTTCCTAAGTAGGTCCAGCTGATATTGCACAAATTCCCTCCTAAGTTTTTTCACATATGTATGTACTGACATATATACCCTTCTTTGCCTGTTTTTCCCATTGATTTTTAGATCTGAAGGACAGGACTGTGTATGTTTTGAGTCCTGTAACTTTAAAAGGTGAATTGAATCAGTGGGGATTTGGCATCTCAAAAAGTAATTATTGGCTGGATGCAGTGGCACACGCCTATAATCTCAGCAGCTCAGGAGGCTGAGACAATAGGATCATGAGTTCAAAACCAACCTCAGCAATGACAAAGTGCTAAGGCAACCCGCTCTCTAAATAAAATACAAAATAAGGCTGGAGATGTGGCTCAGTGGTTGGTTGAGTGCCCCTGAGTTCAATATCTGGTACCCCCTGCACCCCCAAAAGAAAAGAAATTATGTATCTCTTCCAAAGGACTTAGTATACTGTTTCATGTCAGGATTAAAAGATTTATTTGGTCGCCCTATGACTTGAAAAAAGTCTCACAAACTGATATGTAATGTGGAGAATCTATTAATGATTTGGTAGAAATTATCTACTGAATGAAATTTACTTTTCTCTTTCCAGGTAATACGAGGAAACAGTATCATCATGTTAGAAGCCTTAGAACGAGTATAAATAACGGCTGTTCAACAGAGAAATCCGTGTCCTCCCTCCAGAAGCCCTGTTTAACTGTGACTTGAAAATTGGGTCATATACACTTTCATATTAAACTTTTTGTTAAATAAACTTCAATAGCAAAAAGCTTTGTCAGATGTTTTGAATGTAGACATAGAATGTTAGCTCCTAACTTTTCTAACGTGAATTTTCATGGTTGAGACTGATTCTAAAAAGTATATTTATACATTAAAATAGGAGAATCTTACTGAGTGTGAAACATTACAAGGATTTTTCTGCATTTTTTAGTGCTGAGGAGAGAGAAAAACAGTCAACCTGAATGCATGAGTGGGGTTACTATGAAACATGTAAACTGGTAACTTATACTCTGACTTTTCCAAATGTAGATTATCCTTTATCCAAATGCTTGGGATCAGAAGTGTTTCAGATTTCAGAATATTTGTACAAACAGTAAGTTATGGGATGAGACCCAAAGCTAGTGTTTGCTGCATTTTGACAGCAGCTAGTCGCATGAGACTGGTATGAGTGCTCCAAAAAAAAAGTTGTAGTATTGCAGATAATGACTGCTCATTCTGTACATCTACATTCTAAGTATAGTGCAACAGAAGTAAAACACAGGACGTAATAATATAGTGGTTTATTTCTTAAACATAATCATTACGTGGAGAAATTTTGAAGAGTAGAAATAGAATTTCAGAGAAAAGCATTCCAGTGTATTGTGCAGCTCTTAGAGTAGAGAAGAGCAGTGAGAATGCTGTCCACAATATATTTATTTAGTTCATGAAATTTTATTTATGGCTCACAAGCTCAAATGAGAGGTTTATTACAGATGGTTGTATTATAAGCCTAACCTTAAACATTCCAAGCAAATGCTTAAGGCCTATTTTTATGATCTGAAAAAAGCCTGAAAATCAGTTAAAACTATGTATACATGAATACATACGGGAATATGTAAGTTTTTTAACACAATGAAGAGTATAGATATAGTATTTCCTATTTATAGAAACTATAAAACAAAAGAACAGCCAAAGGGATCAAACTAAATCACAGTAAAATGAGTTGACAAGAAGTCCAGTATATTCTTTAGCATTTCTGTTTTCACTGCTGGTAATTTTTGCAGCCATACAGAACTAACTTGTAGAACCAGTTCTCCCAAGTGTGGTTCCTAGAACAATAGCATCACCTTAGAACTTAAATAAAAGTTTTTGTATCCCACTACAAATGTGTTGAATAACAAATCATACTTAATTCAGTTGGAGAACCACTGGAGTAGAGTTGTCTTCGTTCCACCCCTACATCATTTCTCCCAGTCTCTTCTGTTAAAAAAAAATAATAATCTCCTGGAATAGCAAAACCTGATAGTATTTTTGTTTTAATAAAATTATTCTTTGGGGCTGGGGATGTGGCTCAAGCGGTAGCGCGCTCGCCTGGCATGCGTGCGGCCCGGGTTCGATCCTCAGCACCACATACAGAGATGTCATGTCCGCCAATAACTAAAAAAAATAAATAAATATTAAAAATTCTCTCTCTCTCTCTCAAAAAAAAAAAAAATTATTCTTTAATGCTGTAGTTACATTAAAACTAGTGGGCCTGGAATAGCAGGCTTTAATAGTAATTTTTCTTCTAGAAAAAAACTATTATTTTTAATACTGTAATTATACTGAATCTACCTAATACTCCTGCTAGAACCTATTTTGGTTTTGAGGAAGCAATTTCAGATGCCCTACTGGAATTTTAGTCAGTAGGTTTGATATGAAACATTTTAAATAGGTATTCTTACAAGAAAAAATATATCCCATTGTAAAACAAGTGTACAAATGATAAAAGTTAAACCGGTTTATATCATTAGTATTTACCAATATTTACAGTAGTCTTCCCTTACCTGTGGTTTCATTTTCCAATTTTTAGTTTACCCTTAGTCAACCACGGTCTGAGTGTACCAAATGGAAAATGACAGAAATAAGTTAAAAATAACATTTGTTATATTATTTTTTTATGATTATTATTAATCTCCTAATGTGCCTAATTTATAAATTAAACTTTATATGTGTATAGATATATAGGAAAAGACTGTCTTTTGCTATGTATACTGTCTACAGTTTCAGGAATCCACTAGGAGTATTCCAACATAATTTCCCTCAGATGGGGGAGGGACTATCAAAGCATATAACAATGTTACATTCACTACAAATAGTCTTCATTAAAACCACAAAAGGAGAAAATAAATGCCTCTTAACATACTTGATAAGAATAAAATTAGAAAAAATATAACCCTTCAACAAATGATAAACTTAATTCCTGCCTCTATCAACTATATCTTGGCAGTTTTTTTCAGATATCAATATTCAGAGACATAGAGGGAAGAAATAATGGTTAAGAGTCAGCATTTTCTCACATCATTTTGCTAAAGTAGCTACTGCCATAATCTGGCACTTAACCTGGTTTCAGTTATTAATGCATAAGCTTTATATGGGTTCTTTTCTACCAGCGACTATGACATTGATTCATGATCTCCATATAGCAGATGTAGAACTGATTCTCAAGTTTGGTTGTGTACAGGAAGCATTAAGCCCTACAGTTGATTCTAACGGGCAGTCAAAGTTGAGAGCCACTGCCACTGAGATTTTAGCAACCAACTTTTCACCTCACATGTTACAGTAACTGATGCATTTAACATTCCAAAACTATCTGAACTTGGTTAAGTTTAGTGTCATTCTAAATGTCCTTCTCTAATGCCAGCTGCTCTAGGTTTATAGAAGTTGCCTCTGCTGTTAGGCTGTCAGTGTTTCTTACTATTAAGATTAATTCTGAAGTTCTCATTGAGATTCCTTGCAATGGATCTGCTCTGATGTTTTGTGTTTCTTACTACTTTTAAGGCACTTTTTAAAAACCCTTTATAGACATTTTAATTCCCCCATCTGTGCTTCTCTAGTTGCACACTAGAAACTTTAAACTGACAAAGTGGTATCCTTAGTCCTCCTTTTAATGACAAGGTGGTATCCTCAATACTTTAACTCCTAATCTCTAGTTGTGAGGGCCTATCAGTAATTTTTAAAAGCTCCTCAAGTGAGAACATTAGAACACAGGTTGTGGTTCAGTGACAGAGTGTTTGCCTAGCATGCCATTTTTTTAATTTTAAGATTATACTATCTATGACTTCTGAATTTTACCCCTAATAAAATCAAAACATAAACAATCAAAAGTCAAGGTTTTAGGCATTTACATCAAGAAGGCATATAAATTACTAAGACCCAACTTCCAGAGTGATTTTATCTGACTATAAAGATTTTATTCAGCTGTGAAGCTCAAATAAACTAGTACCCAACTAAGATGTCTTTTAAGTTCTTCCTCAAATACTCATCTTAAAACACTTTTGATCAAACTCCAGGGTCCCACCCCTGAACCTACTGAATTAGAATCTCAAAGAGAAGCTCTTGAAACCCTTGTTTAACGAACTCCAGGTGATTCTTATACTCAGACGAGCTTGGGCAACACTGCCAATGGATATTGCAAGAAATTTTGGAGATGGATAAAGGCAAGAGTTATCCAAACCTTGTAATTTTCTTGGAACACAACAGGATTACTTTGTAAAATGATGAAAATGGCAAAATATCTGATTCAAAATCATTTCTGCTCAGATTTTGCCTTTTTCTTTTTTCTTTTGCCAGTGGTACTCATGGGGAACCAGGAGAGGAAAAACGAGAATGTTATTTCATAGCTCCGTTTTAAGTTTCTCATAGAGGCCATCTTGGTCAATCATGTCTGCGTTCCCATTCCAGCGGTGATAGGCAAGGAGTGCAGCATTATGGGCTGCAATGGCACTCATTTCCATGGCACTTGCTGCAAACTCTATACCATTGAGGTAATACAGCCGATCGTGGAGTATGATGGAGGGACATTTCTCCGGGGGCTTATAGTGAGGATATGCAAGCCAAGACTTCTTCACAGCATAATCATAGGACAAAAAGAGCTTAAAAATTTGCTGTTTAGTAAGAATTTCTGGGGAAAAAGTCTTCCAAACATATGTTCCATCTGTTGATGGTTGAGGACTGTCCTTTTCTCTTACAGAGGACACAATCCCAACGTTGTTAATAAACAGATCTGAACTATCAGTGGTCAAAACTGTAGACAGGCCAAACTGATCTTTGGCTCTAGAGCTAAATACAGTTGAATTCAATTCTCCCTTAACCAAAGTTGTCACTATATGTTGGTAATACTGATGAAATTCCTCAATTGGAGGATCAAAGTTGAGGAAAGTAATGTTGGACATTTTTTGATTCAATGGAGTGGCCACCAAGACGATGTCATAGAAGTCTGAGTGGGTCTCGGATCCACTTTGGTACACCACTTCATACATCTTTGTGGGATTTCCTAGAAAGAAAAAGGCAGCACACATTTCTTAGTGTTTCTAACATACTGTATTTTATACCATCTAAAAATAATTCTAAAACTTAAATAGTTTCTCTTTAATTCCAAGAAGTTAAAGAGTTTTAGCCCTTAAGCTAACTAAAGGTTCCTTGCAATTTTATTACATTGAGGACAGTTTCCTATTCAGAATCTCAATAAATACAAAATATGGCATTTTTACTCTTGATGAGATTGCTTTTTAAATCCAAAGAGTCATGCCATTGTATTTGAGAACATTTAGGAATATTTCTACATGGTATAACATAAACAATTTAAAATTCTTTTTGAAACAATGAGAGATGCAAAAGGAGTTTTTCTCACTGAACAACCATTTTCTGCAGGGATAATTAGAAATAAAAATTCAAACTCACCTGTCTGCTTGGTCCTTGTTTTCTCTATATACATTACTGAGCCAGATATAAGATTGCTTTTGGAAGCCTGGAGGAGCCGTGAGCAAACAAGTTTATTACCACCTTCTACTGCCCAAAGGCCAGAATCAGCAGCAGTCAGTGACACTGCCCCTGTTGTCAAAAGGGGGGAAAAAAAAAATGTGTTTTCATTCTGACTTTGAAAGAAGCCCAATAACCACTCTCCCTTTCCAATTAAATGTTCTGTTCAGAATGTCTTCTGACACTGCCAAATGGCCCTTTGGGGCAAAATCTTACTCAGTTGAGAACCAATTAACTATTGGAAGCTAAGAACCTTCTCCTAAAAATACACACCTACAAATACATAATTTTGCTAACAATGTCTGAATTTGGGGGGTTTTTTGTTGTTGTTGTTTTGGTACTGGGAATTGAATCCAGTAGGCCTTAACCACTGAGCCACATCCCCAGTCTTTTTAATTTTGAGACAGGGTCTCGCTGAGTTGCTCAGGACTTCACTGAGTTGCTCAAGACCTCGCTAAGTTGCTGAGGATGGCTTTCAACTCGCAATTCTCTCAGCCTTTGGAGCCATTGGAATTATAGGGGTGCACCACCATGCCCAGCAATGTCTGCAATTTTGAGAAAGACAGCCTTCTCCAAACCATGGCCCAAAGTGAGGAACCATCCTAACACCATCAAGTTCTTTTATGAACAATCATGCAACACTTTTTCAAGGCCTGGCTTACCCACAAAGGCATTGATGTCTGTGCTTTGACCATAATTGACCCTCATGACGGGAGCAATCATTTCATTGAGGAATTTCTCAGAGAAGCCTGCTTTCTGCAAAGTTTCATGAAGCGTTCGGTTAAGCAACCCAAGGAAGTCATCTCCTCCTACAGCATGGAGTAATTTTTCTACACTACTGAAGGCATAGTCATGAGACTGGTAGCGGTAGATCCTTGCAAAAAGAAGAAAAATACCATTAAGCACCAAAAAAGATGGGGGACAGGGATATATAAAGATAGAAAAGAACATCATAAAAGTCAAATTAACTTCCATGTTTCCTTCTGGTGAGTTTCTACCTATCCTCTGAGACACGGCTTAGCCATCACCTTCCCCAGCTCTCCCAGAAGCTTTTGGCCCTCCCGCATCCTCCACCTCTTCTGAAGTCCATTGTCCTTTGAACACACTCTTCTTTTTCTGCACTGGGATCACCTTATAAAGAAATGGGGCTGGGCATGCTAACACACACCTATAATCCCAGTGGCCTGGGAGGCTGAGGCAGGAGGATTGCAGATTCAAAGTCAGCCTCAGCAACTTAGCGAGGCTATAAGTAAGCCCTAGTGAGACCCTGTCTCGAAATATAAAAAGGAATGGGGATGTGTCTCAGTGGTAAAGCACCCTTGGGTCCAATCTACCCAAGTCTTGCTTACTAAACAAAAGTCCAGATCATTTAACCTGACATCAAAAAAAGGAATTGCATGCAGGTGTGGTGGCACACACCTGTAATCCCAGCTATTCAGAACACTGAGGCTGGAGAATCACACGTTCAGGCTGGCCTGGGCAACTCAGTGAGACCCTGTTTCAAAAATATAAAGGGCTAGGGATGAAGTTCAGTGGTATATCACCACTGGTTCCAATCCCTAGTACCTTAATTAATTAATTAATTAATTAAAGAAAAAGTAGAAGCAAAAGGCTTTGTCTAAAGATGACATGCAAGTAGAAGGCTTAAAAGCACAACTTGACATTTCTGCCCTCAAT